CGGCCCGCACGGCGTGGTTGGTTTGCCATTGCCGGCGGGTGCCGGAGCTGCGGCAGCACCGGGTCGGGGGGATGCCACGGTGATGCCAGACGTGGCGGCCAGGTTTGCCAAAGGGCTCCGGCAGCTCAGCCTGGAGCTGGAGCCCACAGCACCACTGCCAGCAGTAGAAATTGCCACCCCGGCACAGCTCGCCAGGGACACGCCAGCAACTGGAGCCAAACCCAAACCCCCCAAATTCACCTTGCCACGGTTTGGGTTGTCCCTCACCAAGCTCAAAATGGGTGGCAATGGCAACAGGTATCCCGTGGCATCCCGTGGCGCAGCCGTGCCAGCGCCGCCCGGCATCGCCGTCACTGGTCCCACGGTGGCCTTAGACCTGGCTTTGGGGACGGCTGGTGCTGGTGGTACTGGGGTCAAGCTGAAGGTCCCCAAATTATCCCTGGCACCTTTTGGTGTCAAGGATGGGGACAAGGGTGCTGGTGGTGAGGAGGGTCCCCGGGATGGCGGCATCACAATGAAGCTGCCACAGTTTGGAATCAGTGGGTCAGGGGGGGATGATGGGAGGTCGGTGGAAACGGGGTCACCCAGGACCCCCCGGCTTCGGGTACCACGGGTGGGCATCGCCCTGCCAGCGACGGGCAGCTGGTACACGCCATCATTGCCTAAACTCCCTGTCAGGCCAGAGCTGGGCGGGGGGGTGAAGCTGCCAAAATTTGGGGGATCCAGCCCCGATATCCGCACTGGGGGGGACACCAAAATGATAAGACGCGGGGGAAGCGCCGAGAGCTTGAACATTGGCGTGGCAGGAAGGAAGATGCATGAGCCCAGCGTGATCCAATTGAAGCTGAAAACCAGGGGGCTGATGGATGATGGGGGGCCACAGCCATTGACCCCCTGGTTCACTGTCCCTGCCGTGGGTTTTGCCATACCAGTAAAACAACCAGAGGCTCCAGTAAGCCAGAAGATGCCGAAACCCACCGGCATGCCGGCATTGAAGGTGCCGGTGCTGGAGTTGGCACCACCAGGGATGGATGGCATGGAGGAAACCACCAGGAAGGATACGGCACCAGGACGCCGGTCTAGGGTCAAATTGCCAAAATTTGGTGCAGGTTTTTCCAGAAGTGGGTTAGAAGGTGAAGGGAGGATGAGGATGGGTGGCGTGAAGGAGACAGTGTTGGTGAAGCCAAAGGAGAAAGGAGAAAACAACCAGGTGGTGGACACCCTTCCCCACGTCAACGGGGAAGCAGAGGGCAAGGCCCGGCGACGGCGATGGGTGCCCAGGGTGGGCTTCTCCCCCGAGGGGTCCCCGCCAGAGCCCCCCATCACCCAACCCAAGGAGGGGAAGATGCGGTTACCTGGTGTTGAGCTCTCCCGCAGAGACCCCGAACTCAACCAGCTGTCAGCGATGACAGAAGTCACCTCACGCTTCACTTTGGGAGGGTTTAGGGGTGAGGGGACCCCTAAATTTCAACTGCCTAAGCTGACGCTAAGCCCCCAACCCTGCAGTGAGCGGTGAACCCCACCTCAAGCACGGGGGTCTTCGGGGACCCCCTGGAACAGTGATTGGGTGGTGGAGCATCACTTGCTCCCCAAGCCCCTCTTTAACCTCCTTGACCC